TATTTACAATTAAAAATAATAATCATATATATCATACTATAATAATTGTATGTATTGAGAATACGATTATAATGTTTATTTCTAAATACCTATATATCTGATATTAACAACTGTAATCAAGTAATTAGTTTAATGAAAATTATTCCAGCCAGCATTTAACATCATCAAATTGACAAAATATCATCGAACTATTATTGCAAACAGTCGTGATTTTATCGGAGCATAATCTTTGGTCTAAAGAACTAGTGCTCTCAACCTCAAGTACCTGAGAATCGCATTGGGTGATTGTTACATTCACTTAGCTCCTCCACAATTGTTCGCAATAACAGAGCGATGGGATTTTGATATTAAATGTTAGCTAGGTAAAAATATATGAATTATTAATAAATAGGGTTATTATTTTAATTTTGTATATCCATATACAATCTGCATAAATTTCTCTATTATAACATCAGATTAGTTCAGATTTAGATGTAGTTGGTGATACATATGACTCCTAAATAGTTAATTTTTAATGTTGATTGGCACCGTAAAAACAGTGTTTTTTAAATCATCATTTAAGCGTGTCTATTAAATAGCTAATGTCAGTTTATAGAAGTTATGTTATTAACTACGGCTGAGCAAATTCTTTGTTTGCTTCCTATCAAGTTACGACCACATAAATTGACACTATTTTTCAATAAAATTTTACCTTTGGCTATTGCGGAGATAGATCTCTACATTATGATTTGTCAAACACTATTTAATAAAGGAATAATGCTAGTTTACAACTGTTATACTGACTAAAAAAAGTATCTACTAAAAGAAGACTTTTTTTTTTAAGAAAAATTAAATTAATATTTTAAGAATGATTGGAAAATTTGAAATATTCTTTCTGATATCCTCAATAATGTACTTGTCTACGCCCAAAAATGAAAAAACATCTCATAAACTTGGGGTATGATATGACTCAACGATTGCAGATTGCAATATATTTCTGAACCTACCTAAGTATATGTAAGATGTTGTCAAGTGCATTTTTTGTTTTCATTTTACTGATATTTCGGAATATTTAATATTAATATATAAATTTATATATAATTTATATATTTGATGTTTTTAAATATTTTTGTTTTTTGATAATGAAGTATATTCGTATATATGGGTATATATTTTTAACAAAAATATTTACAATTTTAGTGTGTATAGTCAGATAAGTAATCAAATATAAAACTAAAGTTTCAAATCGTTTAATTTCAAATTTATCAACCTTATCACTTTAAGCAAATTTTTAAATAAATAAAATTAAAAATAAATAATACAATATAAACGATGTATTGTACTGCGCTTATCAAAAGCCCAGTATCAGAAAGAAATTATTTGTTTTGGGTGTTTATACAAGTATACTTGAAACCTGCATAAGTGCAAAGATTATAACTAAACAAAAAATTACAGTTTAGATGAGAAGTTATGGAATATTCCAAAGAGTCACTCCCATTAACTATTGAAATATTATGTCATATAAAATATAAATATTTAACAAAGCACTTTCTTTTATACATACATGACATACAATGTGAAATACAATAACATGGATATGTGATGTACCTTATAAAATGATAATAATATGGAAATGAATGCGTAAATAGTTCGAACAATTTTATAAATTGAATGTAATTAAATTTCTTTAAACTCAATTAAGATACCACTTTAACCTTCTTAAAAAAATCATTTATTACATACTATATCTGTATATATGCTACGACCTATGTTTGCCTGTATGTTTTTTTTTTTTTTTTTGGTTTTTATAAAGTATCTGTCTTTATGAAATTTGATTTAAAGCGCACATTTCCCACCTCTGCAATAAGTTTCACAATGGTTCGCCTGCATTGAATTGTTGAATTCCATAGATTTGAAAAAAAAATTGTCGTTCACTGTCACAAAAGATAATTTCAATATGAAGATAAGTGGGGAAGCGGATGCACATATATTCTATGTGTGCCTACATGTATGCTTGGCATTGTATAAAATTCTGGATCCCACCATATCACGCGACTGCAAGATCAATTTAAATTATTTAATAAATTGTCGGTTCCATTTAAATGAATATTTCATCTTTCTTCTGAGTGTTTTTTATTTTCGAAATATATGCGGTAAGTGTTGAGGGTAAGCGGATCTTCATGGCTGGCATTCACAAAATATGAGTGGCTCATTCCTAAAGTATTCCTAAAGCATGCATGCACGACTACGAGTATATGCAAGCAAGTATATAATTCTATAATTTCTCTACATCTTCTATAGCAATTGTAGTGGTCGCTTTTGTATAATTTGTTATAATCGTTTATGTAGGTACTTATATATGTATATGCAATTGTATCTAATTGTATTTTATTTTAGTTACTTTGTTGCATTTCACCACTGTTTGGCTGTCAAGCACAAGTTTTAAGTACAGTTGATTTTTAGAAATAGCACTTGAAAATAATTAATAAGGAATTAAAGTTTTTAAATAAAGTTTTAGCTTTGCTATAATATAATATAATTAAATAATAATATTAAAATAATTAATATTAAAATAGTTATTAATATAAAAATAATTATTAATAATAATATTAATAATAGTAGAAGCAAAATAATCTTGGTCAGATTCTTACTCTGTCTGTCATATGCTCAAGTTCTTCCAGTTCACCAAAATCATTATATGTTTTGCAGTCGATGTTTCGTTTATTTCTATTAACTTGGCGCGTTGCAGTGTAGTCTTTATGGGTCTTCGTCTAGCTCACAATGAATTTTAAATCATACTTGTTAAATATATTTTGTTATCTTCTTTCTGTTACATGTAGCCAATTCAGCTAAATATATTCCTAATTTAGACCTCAACATTCGGTTTTTTTTATAACTTTGATAAAAATGTGCGGAAAGTTTTTTAAAGGTTTTTAAATTGTTATCTTTGATAACAAAATAATTTTTAAACTTATTGGTAAATATAGCGCGAATATACAAAGAATAGTATATTTATTAATATTTAATAAATAGAGAAATTGTTCGCAAGTTAATAAAAAAGTATAATATATATTCGTGGCTAAAACTAAGAATAAAGGGTATGACATATATAAAAGACTTTATACTAAAATGAATTGACGCTTCAAGAAGTTATGTCCATTTTTTGCAAAGGAGTAATATTTATCTATCTATGGTTTTAAAAGATAGTTGATGACAGAAACCGATCTGAATTTGTATTCTTTAGTAATCAAGCCCCCCAGTTATCTATTAATTAAAACTTTGTCACTTCATGGCTCCATAACCACTTACATGGTTATCGACCCATGCCCACGGTGTATAGCCTAATGCAACACCTGGACACGGTGAAGGCTACTTTAGGAGTAGCCGTACATCTGGGAATAACTCTACATATGATAAAATATAAAATGGAAATATAATAGTAAAATATAGGTAACTATAAATGTAGCTAAAAGAAAATGACTTTTAATATAACTAAAAAAGAACTAGAAAAATTTTTTTTTGCCAAAATCAAATTTAGTGAGTTAAAATGGAATGCGGTATTTATTTTATTTCTATATTCCAAAGTCTTTAAAACTCTTGTCATTGTTACTATTATGTAGTAATGAAGTCGGAATGAAAATAAAAATGACATTAAGTTAGACTAAATATAATATAGATAAAATTTAAGAGTACGCAGATACCTTACTTTTATGAGCCCTAGTAACTTGTTACCAGGATTCTGTTTCGTCTAATGAATACAATATGCAAAAAAGGTAATCGTTAATATTATACTGTTAATACCAAAAAAGAAAAGTTACATGTAAAAAAATGGAACACTATTAATTTCTCCTTGAAGCACTACATTTTTCTAATATATGATAACTATGTTGGTTATCAATACACCTCCGCCAAAAACTTTCCCAAAAAAAATGACAATTTCTGCGTGTAGTAATTAAGGAAAAAGATGTAGTTAATACTAAACAGTTACTTGTTATGCATATATCCAGTTAATCGTTACTTAAACCACGTACAATAATCATTCAATAGTATATATCAGCCATGTACTTGATTTGTGACTTTACGAGATGTCAAATATTCTACACCTGGCCTGAAAAGTTAGGCCAAGTACCCTTCTCACTGACTATACCTGACTGACAATATCCACCAGCTAGGGAGGTACTGGCCTAACTTTTGAGTACCCTCCTTCGAACGAGTTATTATAACTGAAAGGAGTTACAGAAGAGAATAGAATACTATTTAAATTCTCTTCTTTAAAAATCAAAAAAGTTACCGATGAATTTACAGGCTTATATATGTGTATTATAAAAAATATGCTTTAATCTGTAAATATTAATATTATTTAAAGGGTATTTATAATCAAAGTTTTGGTCAAAAAGAAGATAAAATATTCCTGACATTTCCTGTTCCTGAAAATAACTGTATATATCCACATTATCTCAGTCATTTTTATTGAGAAAAAATAAAATTTCTCCTTATATTATGTAAATACACCCTTTTTTTCTAAGACCGACTGCCACTGGGATTCATCTATCTAAAGAATATTTCATATTTAGAAAAACCAATAAATTTGGTTTGTTATGTTCACTCCACAGCGTGATTAATGTTTTTTTTTTTTTTTGTGTAAAAAATCTCAGTGATATTTGCTTTGTTTCCGCTTTACTTAATTTTATTATTGGAATATAAATCAAAATTTGTGTTGAAGCTGGTAGGGCCGCACAAAATAACAGACTGATCTTTAGCCTGTGGGCAAGGCCAGCGTTTGTCTTAATTCAATTACTGTTAACATTTAAGTGCAATTAAGACATTTGATCCTCACCACAATTGCGCTAAAAATAGTGTTGCTTGGTTTCGCTTTACCGCAGTTTGCTGCATGTGACAATAAAATGAATATATTTTTATATAAAATTTGTGGCGTCACCTAATAAGGTTTATTATAAATATTAAACATGTACAAGTATTAATTACTTTACTTATATATATATATAAAATTTATTTTTCAGGTGTCGGTTTGGTTTTACGTAAAATGGGTAACAGCGTCAACCCAACTGTTGAGTTGGTTAAAGACGGCGATAACTATACTTTCACTACCACATCTACATTCAAAACATCAGCCATCACCTTTAAGTTGGGTGAAGAATTCGATGAAGAAACACTTGACGGACGCAAAGTCAAGAGTGTTATCACCATGGATGGTAACAAGCTCATTCAAGAGCAAACTGGCGATAAGCCCACAACCATCGTACGTGAATTCACCGCTGATGAATTGATTGTTGTAAGTATTTGTAAAGCACAGAAATTTAGACTTGATATAAAATAAAATCCTTCTCTCTTTTACAGACCCTTACCATCGGTGACATTAAATCAGTGCGTGTATACAAAGCTGTTTAAAGACATGAATGCATCATCAAGCGAATGCTGCTTATAATTGCAATCTATTGACTGAGCACTAAGCATCAATTAAAATCGTTCCATGGCAAAACAAAAGTAATAAATATCTTAGAATATCTTAGAGAAATTGTTATTAAATAACAATGTTTAATTAATTTAAATTTTTGACATCCAATTAATTACTTTTTTTTGATAAAAATTATATTACACTATTTTAAAGAATTTTCCAAATAATTGAAGTTGAACTTTAAGTCATTTTTTTTTGCACGATATGCTACAATATATGCATTTATTGTTATAAGCCATTTAAATTAATAATTAATAAACATTTTTCCATCGTAATAAAAATTAATACCATATGAAATTATGTTTTAATGCTTACAACAATAACAATAACAATGAGCAACGAAATTAGGAAATTATATAAAAAGCAACCCAACCCGACCGACCAACTTGGTATGAGACTTGACCATGCGCATTTCAAAATTTATTACCAAACCTGACATTTTACCAAATGTTGGTATGAGTCACGCATTGACGCCGGCTAAACAAATCCGCGGCTCTCGATACCTTATAAACGCTAATTTTTATTTTTAAATAAAAAATGCATATAATTATAAGAAATAATATTGAGTATTAGTGCAAGTGGTAAAGTAAGGCTTTTTGCAACTGTTACGGAATAATTTCCAGAGCAAGTGAAACTGTGTATTTATAAAGTGGAGAAGAAATGTGTAACTAGAACCCACTAAAGTTATTACAATAACAACAAAAAGTTTTTCAGTTTTTAACTTGGTCATTATTACATAATATTGATTTATCAAAAAGCCGGCTAAAAAGTGAAAGTAGTGAGTCTTCCTTGGAAAATAAATGACCTTGTATAGCAACGAATTCAACTACAAAAATTTCTAATAACAACGGAAGAGAGTAAATCTCCAGGAATTAACTTATAGCCAACATATATATCTACTTATTTTTATGTAATAAAAGTTTAGAGCAATTGAAGAAAAATTCTACAACGTAAAAAACAAACTTTAATATTGGTAAGTTTGATAAGGAAAACATATCTTTGGAAAATGTATTAATACTATTATAATTAATATTAATCGAATAATTGATATTCGAAGTATTCTACGAATATATTCGAATATTCGTATTTAAAATTAGAACAAATAATTTGAGTTCTATAACAATATAATAACGATATAATATAAATATAAATATATAAAACAAAATATCATCATTTAAATATAGAAAATATACTATACTATACTGTCATTGTTGTGTAATAATAGTATGTAAATATTAAACAAAGAAGAAGAATCGTTTCAAAGAAACTTTAGAAGTATCTATTAAGTCACACAAACTGAAATGATAGAATAATCACGTCTCAATAGTTTATATCAGTATTATATCGAACTAAATAAAATGATTCAATTAGGACTACATTAATAAAAATATTCCCATACAACTAGAACATATACCTATCTAGGTACATTTTAGTATAAAATGGTTAATTGAAGCTAATTGAAAGGATTTCATATTATAATAAGTGTAGTAAAAATAAATCCTTTATTTTTGCATAATATTAAAGACTTATTTACCATAGTTAGAATGATCCTTTTTAAGTCAATTAAGGACCGCTTTATTTTGCCTTTCTCGTCCCTATTGACAAAAAAACAAGACCATTTTCACAAACCACTCTTGAAGCAAATTTTTCACCAGAAAAATTGTTAGCCATGGATAGGAACAGGTATTAATCAATTAGTGGACTATAAGATGAATGCATATCAAAGAAAAAAAACTGTAAAATATGGCGTATTTTCTCTTTGTTAGTGTCCACTTTTTATGGAAGCTAAAATAAAATTAAGTCAAATTACAACCAAACTTGTAAAAATTTACCTTTTTTTTTTTAAACGAAATCTCATCATTCTAACAGCATTTAGCGTAATCCATTTGGTCTTATATAACGCAGGATACAGATAACTAAAGCCATTTATTGGGAAAATAATGGATTTCTTTTTACTACTAATATTTTCACTTAAAGTATATCAGGGATCATGGATCTCTATCAGTACTAAACTAAATAACATATTGGTACGGAATGGTTAAGTATTAATGATGGTTAATATAAATTGAACAAATTCCATATTACACTTTTTAAATAAGCAATATATTCTGAATCTCTAACAGTAATAACCTCAAGGAAGCCCATTGAGTAATAATACTTATATAAAAAAATTAATAGTGAAAAAAAAATAATATAATATAATATAAAAACAAATGGTTCAAATGGTAAAGTTGTTTTATAAAATATATAAACGATATTTTGCATTACTCAACGCCTAAAGAACTTTGATTACATTTTAAGATTTTTTATATGGAATCTTATAAATTTAAAAAAAAAAACAATTTAGTTCTTAAAAGTGTGACATATTTTTATGAAAAGTTTTTTTTAAATAGTTTTTTAATACTATATCGGCGGGCTTAAAAACTCATAGTTTAGAACATTAGTGAAAAGATTTTCTAAATTTTTAAAATTTCAATCTAAACAACTTTAGGTTTGTATAATTCAGACACAATTGATACGTGAAGTTGACTTTTTTTATTTAGTGAGATCAGAACAAATTTAAAAATTCTTAAAAAAAAATCTTTAAAATTCATCACGTTTTACCAATAGGATTAGATCGTTATCTTGTATTGGGTAAACAAAGATTCTAACAAATACATGCATCAATACATTATTAAACTCAGTGTATTATCTGTGCATGAGTAACTATTCCAGAACTTTTATGTGGTTCTTATTCACATAAAAATTATAATTATTCATTGAAAAAGTAAAGCCTTCTACAAGCATATTTGAATTTTAATCAAGGATTTAATATATTATTCCTAGTGAAATAATATAAAAGGTGCCAGATTCTTTTCTTCACTTTTTTGGGTTTCATCGGGTTTCACGTAACTGTTTCTTTTATACTCATTTTAGACTCTTCCAAATACGTACCTGTTAGTAAAGTCATATTAGGAATGGTAAACAGCCTTTGAAAATTGACTTATGGCTATGAAATGTAGCTCCGTCCATTGGAGTCGGTAAATTCAGAATCCCCACCAACATTAAAGCAAAAAATCTAGGGTATCGCTCTCGACAAAATGTTGACCATTTTTGTGCGTAAAGATACAGTTTTCTCTTAAAGACTACGATTGCATAGCAACAATGTTTATAATAGGTGTCCAGCAAAAACTGTTCTATCCCAATTGAGTTAAGAATATAGTCACATATGCTAAAAATTTACTTGTCACGCATACATGCGTTAATTTCCAAGTTTTAAGCTAACTGTAGCTCTACCCCCAATAATATCGCCCATCTGTTTTCATGTCCTAATGCACACACCAACTTAAGTCCAATTGATCGTTAGCTCCGTTGTATTGAAGTAGTTAGGTTTTTCCGCCGGGACCCAAGTTAGTCAGTTAAAATCCCACCCATACTTAATTTACCTTTGTTCCCAAACAATTTTCTCACCTTTCACTCTTTCTTTTCTCAACCATATCCTAAGCTACGTATTTGAAAATAAATAATACTTTTGTCTTTTCCAAAGCATTAAGAAGCTTTTGTTATGTATGATAATTTGCTTAATAACGTTTAATGCCTGCTATTAAATAAAATAATAGTGACACTTACATCGTTCAATTGATGCAAAATATCTATATGTTGGCGAAAAGTCTTTCTTGATGTTAATTGAATATTTTAACCTAAAAAAAGAGTTAATACTTTTTAATATTAATCTGTCATTTTTAAAATATCTAATTTTTTTTAATGGATTATACTATATAACATTTTATCGGATTGCCATTTAATTACTCAAAATTCACTTTAGGATGTCTTTATCTAAATTATTTGTTTAAGCCAAACAACACTACAAAAATGACGGATTAATGTGAAGGTACTTTTAATATGCGTAGAGAAGATTTTTTTTTCTGTTATCTTTAAGATTAATTTTTATCTGTTTCTGTCATTTGCAAACATGATAGTAACCTTGCTTGTTGCCAGTTTCATGGAATAATGATGTTGTTACCAGAACCATTGTATAAATTCTTAAGGCATAAAATTTTTCTTATCATCCTTGGATCGCATTTTCATCTAATTTTGCTTTCAAACTATTTTTTTAGCTACATTTAATTTTTTGGGTTTCTTAAAATGTAATAAATATTTCTAAAAGTTACCACCTTTTTGTTGATCTAGCCAATAATGTTCATAAATGTCGGCCAAATAGCCAAACAGAGAAGAAACATTTTGTCATCTTAATTTTAAGTTACACTGATATTTATCCGGGAGATATGGTAGAAGTTCCTTTAATTCAATAAAATTTTTTGAATTATTTTTTATTTTTTGAAATAATCCGATTGTTCATTTAATGGGTATTCGTGGGGTTATTGAACTTATAAACTAAAATAAAAGCGAAATTCGTACAATTTTTATAACACAACACAGTTTGAAATAAACTTTATTTAAAAAAAATTATAAACATATTTACTTTCTAAATTAAAATATTTAAAATGTTTTGAAGTATTATTGAAACGTATTTGAAATTATTTATATGTGTATACTTCTGTCAATATCATATTTAAAGAAACGTCACTGCCAATTCAAAATTTGTATGACTACAGTTTGAAATTATATGTTTTACTTTTAACAGTTTGAAAAGGACTGATACTTCAAATACTCAAATCTTTAACCAAATTAAATATCGTGTTTAACAATAAAAAGAAAATATATATGAAAAATTAAAATTATTAATTAAGTGAATTTGACAATTATTCGCAGGCACTTAAAATGCTTAGTTAAATAAAATTGAAAACTTGTAAACTGTTAAGTTATATATTAGTTTCATTCTACATTTGTGAATTTTGTTTATAAAACCAAAGTGTTAAAAGAAAAGTCCTAATAAGGAAAAAGAGAGGTGGAAATAACAGGATTTACGTGAAAACCATGTATTTGGTTGTTAATAACATGTTTGGAATGCATCATCTCAGTCGTTATTATTTGATAAAGCTCCTGCTTCTAAAAAGCAGATGGAAAACGATACCAAAGTCTTTTTTTACAAAAAAGAGATGCCGTGTCGCTTACAGTCGCTTACGTTATAGGCGCAATTCCAAAGGTAATTGAAAGGATCCAATGCAGGAGATTGGAAAAATTGTATGCTAAAATATTAAAGGTTTTGTCATAGCATGGTTCTATATATGATAAATATAACAACAACACAAAAACAGCTGAAAATCCAGCGATATTGTTATTGTGTACAGCAATAGCGACCACAACAGCAATAACATTAGCGTCTACTAAAACAGAATTCTTAGTTACTTCAACGGAATAGCCTGTTGTTATCAATAAATTAGTAGTGCGAAATTCTGCAGTTTCAACTTAAAAGCCGACATTAGCTTCTTCTAAACTGAAAACAAAATCAATAGCTGTTCCAGCAGCTGCTATTGGTCCAAATCCGGCAACTAAATAGGTGAGTGAACCTCCTAAAATTACTGTACTAAAACTAAAACACAAGACCTTTAGTAAATTCCTTAAATACACTGTTGTTGTTCATAAAGGATATGAATAACTTATGTAACATCAATGCTATTCTAAAAAAGAATAATTTTTCCAATTATTTTATTTATATTGGATGATGTTATATATTATTTTTACCGCATCCATTTACATTATCTGTCACTCAGTTTAAATTTATTCGCACTCGAAATTTTTTGCATTTGCAGCGTGTCATTATAAATATCGTGTTATATAAATACAATCGTCTTAAATTCTGGGAGTACCATCTATCTCCTCAATGCAATGTAAATAAAGTTATGGTCTGTCACTTCACATTGTGAAATTGGAGCTTAAAGCTCACAATCCGTAATGCGTTAACATTCCATACCAGTCACTACTATTAGATCATTTCGAAGTCACTATTGCAGCATAGTCACTATTGAGAACATTTCTTTTCCAACTGTTAAATCAAAGACAATTTTAAAATTGTATTTGCTTTTAATGTTAATATTAGGCAACAGAAAAAATCGATCAAAATTTAGATCGTCAACCCATACACTTGAAGGTAGTGCTTAACAATGTGTCATTTTTAACCATCCGTTCTTTTCTATAGAATTCATAGAATTTAAATTAATAACTTTTGCAGCTTAGAAAAGAGAAGAACAATCAGTGGAGAAGATTTAATAGAAATTTGGTTTGATTGGATAGATCACTATTAATAGTGATCTTAAATGATCACTTTATCAAAACATTATCTCTTTTATTCTATTATAAATAGTTTTATAAAAAATAATAACAAACTCTGTGGTAAAAAACAAACATAATAAATATTCCCACCTTCCACTAATAAAATGTTTCCCATGTTCATTTTTATAGGTCAATTTATGATACCTTCTAACTACAAATTAAAAATTGAAGAGTCACAAATTTGTGATTTGATAGGTTGCCATTTAGTCATAAACGACATTACATAATAATATATAGAATTAGAAAGACTGATCACTGCTCGATTTAACCATTGGTATAATGATTGATATTCAAGAATACGTTCGCCCTACAACACAATTCTCAGCAGATTCCTGCCTGAAAACTGTACATATGACATATGCTTTAGCAAGGACCTAAGCTTCGATCCAAGCCTGTCTTCCTTTCCGTTAATTTTTTCTACTGTAAACTTAAAAATAAAATAAAAATAGTGATATTTTAGATATATGCTAATAACCTCTTAAAACGATGGATCCTTCCAGTGGATTTAAAAATCCATTTAGTACTCGGCCATGGATGACAAATACAAGTGCGGCTGCTGCAGTTGGTGGTGGTTCGAACGGTTTGAAAGGTATTGTTGCTGGTGCTATAACTGGTGGCATTGAGGTTTGCATAACTTATCCGACTGAATATGTGAAAACACACTTGCAATTAGATGAGAAAGGTGTTTAAAATAATTCAATTTTCTAATGACCTATTTTTGTATTTATAAATAGAAAAACCTTCATAATAAGAATAATATGAATTTCAGGTGATAAAAAAAAATATGAGGGCATGGTCGATTGCGTTAAAAAAACAGTTCAGAAACGGGGTTTCTTAGGATTATATCGAGGTTTGAGCGTACTGCTATACGGTAGTATACCAAAGTCTGCTTGTAGGTAATATAAAAATTTCAAACTCAATACTTTTAGAACACAATTTTAATTTTGAAATTTTAGATTTGGATCTTTTGAATTTCTGCGTTCAATTATGGTTAATGAGAACGGACAACTTAGCAATCAAGGGAAACTTTTAGCAGGTTTAGGAGCAGGTGTTTGCGAAGCTATTGTTGCCGTTACGCCAATGGAAACTATAAAAGTGAAATTTATAAACGATCATCGTAGTGCGAAACCACAATACAAGGGATTTGTGCATGGCGTCGGCACCATTATACGTACTGAAGGTAAATTTACAATATTTCCTATAGAAAGGAATAATTCTAATGTGTATATATTTTATATTTCATTTGATATTTAATAAAAAGGAATCGGTGGCATTTATAAAGGTCTTACAGCTACAATACTTAAGCAAGGCTCAAATCAAGCTATACGCTTCTTCACTATGGAAACCTTTAGAGATTGGTATAAGGGCGATGATCCTAAAAAGAGCATTCCTAAATTGATCGTTGGTGTATTTGGTGCTATTGCTGGTGCTGCTTCAGTTTTCGGCAACACGCCTCTGGATGTAATAAAAACACGTATGCAAGGCCTTGAAGCTTCAAAATATAAATCAACGGCGGATTGTGCTATGCAAATGTTGAAAAACGAAGGTGTAACTGCATTCTATAAGGGAACAGTACCGCGTTTGGGACGTGTCTGTCTAGATGTTGCAATTACTTTCATGATTTATGACTCGTTTATGGAACTATTTCGTAAAATTTGGTAATAGGGCAACTCATCACATAAATTGGTTCAGTTTTAAAATGATTCAAAGAGTAAAAACGAGGAAATCATTTAGTAGGCTCAGATCCCGCAACAAGCATAGAAATGGGAATTTTTAGCATGTGTGAATTAAAAAGTAATTGTGATTATACAAACGCATCACTTAATAGGTGTGAAATAAGAAGTTAATATATTAAATATTATATGTTGTATTTATTTATAAAAATTTGTATTAATATTCAATATTCAAGAAATAAATGGTCATAAAAAAGTATATATTATCTCCGAATTCATTTTTAATGCAAAATCTATTACATTTCAAAATAAGAAAAATATAATTATTCGATATATATATATAACATTTAAGGATATTGCTGCATTTTTACTTGATAAAATACGATCCAATAAAACCTTCCATATATAGTGTAGATACAGAAAAATTTGTTAAAATCTTTGTAACTGAGTCACTATCTTCACAACTAAGGGTAGATTGACATGGAACATGGAAAATGGTTATACAAAGGCATTCTATGGAAATTTTTGAGAACAACGGTAAAATTTTTTTGGTGGTATATGTTTAAAATTACTTTAACTTATGTTTAGTAATCTTGATACTAACAGAGATTTCAGTAATGTCATCATTGATACTTATATTAGGTGTTTTCGGCGCTGTTTATTAGAACTTTGTTTATATAACACTGTAGTGCTGTTAGATTAAGAATGTCGCCATCGGGGGGAGGTTATGGATCCGGGTGAGGTACCTACAGTCGAGTGACAAAAGATACTCGTCAACACGACTAATCTTGGTATTGTCGTAAAGGACAGAGAGGGAGAAAAGCTTGCTGTCAAACTGCCGCTTATAGTTGGTGCAATCTGGAAGAAGCTTCCGACCAAATAGGCGGATTCTTTCCATTTGGGCGAAAGAGATTGCATGCCAAAAGGAGAAGACGTAGGTGTGTAATGGACGAATTAGTTGCTTATAGCAGAGTAGTTTAACTTTGCAGTTACGTGGGGGATGAAATTGTGTTGTGAAGATAGGAGAATGCTAAGATATTTCAGCTTTAAAGCAAGCTGAAGGGGAGCACAGTTGAGTCTTAGCTCAATGTCAGAGTTACCAAAGCATCTGACATTGTTTTAGATCTGTTTCTATTGAGAAAATGATATTACTAAATTTTAATCACATAAAAATGGTATTGATCGCTCACTAATATTTATATCATATCATTCTTAATTGGTTTATATTTCGTTATTTAAATTTTAATTACGGGAATTACAGTTGAATACTACTTCTATTTCTAATATTCTTCTTTTTTTTATTTCTAGTATATAATAATTATTCAGTCACATTTTACATATGATTGAATTGAACTTCTAAAAATGACTGGTCCAGACGTCTGCCGGATATATTATATCCTGTAACATAAATAAAATTAATATTTCTAAGTTTTATTTTTATTTTTCTTTCTTGTGTTTTTTTAAATAACACAATTTATTTCTTATATCTATAAAATTTTTTCTTAGTTATATATTTGTTATTAGAATTGGTCTATATCTTAGGGTATAAATGAGCATCTTAGGGTATAAATGATATATAAACATTTTATAAGATATAATTCATTATCAATATCTACATAGATAGCATTTATTATTAGTCAATAAAAAAATTCTACATGTAAAAAAAGTGTAATTAATTAAAAACTTCAAAATATCACATACATGACTTAGAAAAAAACTTTAATCGTATACTAAGAAGTAGTTCTTATAAAAATTACATCTTGACTCATATCACTAAGGCCATGTGCGAGTACGAGTAAATTGAGGTAAACTAAATTGAAATTTCCTAGGGATTTATTTATTTATTTATTAAACACCTAATTTACCTAATTTTTATTTAATTTACCCTACTCGAAATTCTGATAAATACCAAAATTTGCTGCCATACCGACATAATTTACTTTTTCCCTCAATTTACCATAAATTTACTTGAACTCGCACACGGTTTAAGTTAGGAAATACCCTGTATATTCGTATATTCAACTCGTACTGTTTGTATCCGATAGTGAGTACTCGTTACTGTGCTTCACTAAGTCTGTAGTAAAATTATCACGCCGATAATTAACTGCACTTCCCTTCCTTTACTGTGCTTTACTTTTGCGTTGAAAGCTTAGAGCGTCTGTTCAAGCACGCCAACCATTTTAATAAGCACGTTTTTCTTCATTATTAAATACTCTTTAAAGCATTCAAAATATAAAACTTGCCACAAGTTTTATTCCAAAGAGCAGATATTTAGCATTTTTTTTTGAGAGGGATCACACAACACGCACAAATACATACACGCATTACACAAATTATATTATTGTGCTTACCTACCCGATAGAACTAATCAAGTTTGCCATATTTCCAGTCAGAATGTATTGTTGTTGTTGTACTTACTTGTTGGTCGTTAAACTTTTGTGCTCCGAAGGCACTATATGACGTGTATATGTCGCATGAGCATTTTGTTAGCTATAAACTTATGTTTGTGTATATGGGCATAAGCTTTTTCCAATCAGATTTTGTTGTTTTTGTTTTACAGTGTCTCTTGCGCTGTTGTTGGTTGTGTTAAGTTTTTTAAACATTACTTCTGTTAAAATGAAAATATGGAAATATGGGCAGAATAGTTGTCTGGAGGCGATCGTACGATTGAATTGTTTTTGCTGTTGTAGACAGATCGGTCTCGGAGTTTTTAACTGTTCACATTTAACTTTCGAATTTATTACTAAAAAATTCCATATTTTGCATAAATTCATGTAAGATTAAAAATAATATTTTTGAGCAAACTAAGCATAAAAAGCCTTAACAGTGACCTTGTGTCAAAAATATTAGAATTTTTATTCGTTGCGATCAAATAAATAAAATAAAATATCAAAAATTATGGCAGAAAGTGTGTCAGTGTTTCGTTTGAGTGCATGTTTATCTAGTATTTTTTTCCTATTGATCATTTTTGCTATAGCAGTTGTTGTTGTTCTTGATGTATTTTGATGCAGTAGCGTTGCAAACGAAAATTTAATTTTAATATATTAATTAAATATACACTGCCTTGTGTGTAATTGTCAGCAAAGCGGGAATTATGCAGCTGATCATGTGTCATAATTGAACAAAAAAATTATATTTGCTTTGACGTATTTTAAATATTCTTACATAATAAAAAAAATAGTACGGGCGAAAAAAAAACGACATTATTTTTAGAGTAATTCTCATATTAATATTACTTAGCGATGTTGTCTTTATGCATAAATTAAAAAAATAAGAGCGGCATATATAAATAATAACAAAAACTTATGGGAGCCGCTGCGAACTGAACCTTGAACGATCGTTAGGCAATCAGCCATCTACTAAAGTGACAACTATTTTTTTAATATATATATATATATATACAATTGTTGTAATCATTCTTCTTAGGTTATGGTTAAAAAAAATTATATTTCTTTAATTTTTATTTTTAATTTTCTATAAAACGTTTACACTTACAATTATCGACTCTCATTAGCAAATTTTTGAATGAAAAATTTCACTTGTACTAAAATATAATATGATAAGGACGCAGTGTACATTATCATATATTAAACATGTACACATAATCATTACATATCTATAATTTTTATATTAATTAATATAAATTTATTATCCAATCCCTAAAAAATGCTAAATAATACCTCCACTTCTAGCTAACATAATATTGATATAGCTCTTGACAGTTTCTTATCGCAAAATTTTTATACGTTCTACTTTTTTGTTATACAAGGTTATGTAAAAAATAAATAACCATATATAAAATTGTTGCTAACTTTAAATATTTATTATTATGTTATCTGTCTAATCTACATTACCACTGAGCTTGCAGATTTCATACCCTTGAAAAAAATCTCTAGACTACACTGATAAAAATATGTGTATGTTTTGATGCTTTTGCCGAGGTACTTTGGATTTTGGACCTCAAAAAAATGTCTCACATAAGTGCAGTGCATTATGTTACTTTAATCTAATATACCGATTATTACGTGAATAAGTTTATCTCAACAGTTTATTTTATTGTATATTAAAATTTCACTGAATCAATTATTTTCCAATTTTACTAGCATGATTAGCCGGTAAATGTTATGTAAATAATATATCACACGAATACGTTATCTTTAAATTTTTATTGGTCTACTAAGCTTACCGTAATTATTAAAAAAAGAGAACCTTTAATTGTTATTGTTATGGTTTAATAAAAATTTTAAATTAAATTTTATAAATTAATTTAAAAAATACATATGTAGATTTATATACCGTTATACAACAGCTCCTATGTTTAATTTTTTTTAAGAAATCTTTTCCACATTGAAAATGGTTATACAGAGGTGTTATTTATAAACACTAATAATAATGCTTAGTATTATTATCCTGCTAGCATTGTAATTGTTGCCCATGTTAGTATTACTTTTTTATTTTATTTAGTATTTTTATGATATGTACTATTATTATATATATATTTGAATTGAGTTGAGAAATAAACACATTAATGCTTACTATAAACATACAAATGAAAAAACTCCATAAAAAAAACAAATTTACAATAATAACAATGTTGTTTTCTCTTACGATAGGAGTTGTTTAATATATGCAACTATATATATGTGGATAGTGGGGAGATATAAAACGAAATCAATGATTTGCAATATAACTATTTGTGTAAAGTGTTGTTCTTAATTAATGTGAATTTTGAGATCGCCTTCACTCCAAATGGCTTTTACTCCATTGTGTGAATGAAACTGATCTATGAGTCCACTGACAACATGAAGGTATTTACTTATTGTACGAATGTCCGTATACTGCCCACTAATTGTGAAAGTTGGGTTTTGCAAAAAGAGGGTAGTGTTCGCCGATGATGTTATAAAGTGTCAGTGCCTTGTGTGTAGATAACCTCTCAATGCTAAGATCTTTATGTAAATCCGTCGACTTAATCCCACACACCAGTCTTACGATCCTTTTAAACGATTTAAATTAGCATGAATAAAGACTATTTAAGGAGGCCCTAATTTTGTAGAAACTAGAGTGCTTAAAATGTTTACTATTGAAGCTAAGAAATATGTTACCATTAAAATGGAATAGGAATGGAATGTAAGTAGCTTGATTAATACACAAATAGTATTTCAAGAGGAATTTTTCTTCAAAAGTATAGTCCCAAGTATTTTTGGAATCTCGTCATTCTATGTAAACGTTATTGACATATAATATTAGTAGGTATTGATTACATGTTCCAGTGATATATTTTACGGTATATCACTACTCTATGTAAGCGTTTCACATAATCCAATAATATGTATTTTTTATTTTCGGAGCCAATATAGCAGTATGTAGATGTGATCCTGATTGGTATTTGTTATTGGCTACGTTTTTATAATAAGTTACACAGATATCATTAATTTTAATGATATTATACAAAGCTGATTCCATCCAGCCATGTAAATTTTGTATAGAATGGAAAAAAGTGTGGAGTCTTATAGAGCTATTGCTTCTATTACTTTGAGAGATGACAGTTTACCGTAAATTCTTACTATGTTATGTATTCTTACTATGTTCCCGAGCAAAATGAAAAACGTCCATAATCATAATTATATCAGCATAATATACTTTTTCAAAGGCTTTAACATTGTATATCAAGATTATGCACCTTGAATATCTGTTACTTAAAGCTAACTAAAGCTATTAAAACACTCTTCACATTAGTAGTTAAGCAGAATATTCATCTTTAAAGCAGTTTTGTTCCTTTGTTGAGATATTGAGAGAGTTTCTTACTGATTCAATTACTCCACTATTGTTGTGAGCTCTACAATGACAGTTTTCATTACACAGACTATTACTTGGATAAACTTAAATTTCAATTACTTCAAATCTTATGGATGATATATATGTATAACATCAATGCTTTATAGTCTTAATGAATTTTCTAACTCATATTATTTTATTATTATGTGGTATATCCATACAAATTACATACATATGTTACCAAATTAATTGATTTTTTCAGATAATTCAACAGAGTTTTATCATCCCTTTGTGTACTTAGTGTTGATATACAATACAACTTAGCATTATTCTATTTTTTGATATTATATTTTGTTTTAAATTCCTCCACTCATATTATATATATATATATATATATAATATATATATATATATATATATATATATATGTAATTGTACATATTCTATAATATAAGCAGTTATTTGTATTACAAATGACATTGTCTGATCGTGAGAACTGTTAACCTCAACTAGGCCTCATGTAATTTATAGAAACTACATTTTAAAGATGAAGGTGATCCAAGTTTTTCCCCGTTTTAATAACTAGTTTTCCAACATTTACAGATGCAAACATTTCATAAATTTTTTTTTTATTGATATATTTTACCTATTCAATATTTTTATTTTCTAATTAATTATTTAAATTCATTCAAATATTTTTTTTAAAAAATATGAAAATCTTTTGCAGAAATTAAAGTGCTGAAATATTTACTATTGAAGCTAAGAAGAATGTTATCAATAAAATGGAATAGGAATGCAATCGAAATACGGGTATATTTGTATAATGCACAAATAACTAGATATCTTAAGATTAACGGTTCAAATGACAATTAGTCATTCCACCGACTTCTGGTCTTACTTGAGCTTGCTTAAATTACTTGAATCTTAAGTAAGTTAACTGGTCTTACGAAGCCAATTGAAACGTACTACAAGCTTTTCATGATGGTCAATGAAGATATAGTTATTTTACTATAAATAGCACACCTCTTTTGAAGAACTCGAATTGAAAGATTTTAATGTAATTGAAATGATCTTTTTACGATATATGACTTAGGGGCTTTATTCTTAGATTTTTAATATGCGATGTGTAGAAAATATAAAGAAATTCATTATTAACTATATTTTTTATATTTCAAGCATTAAACTATTGCTCTTATATTTTATAAATATTTTAATTCTTATCTATCCAATGTCTTAATAATAAAATCAATCATATTTCAGATACATTCTAATAACCCTTAAAAACGATGGATCGTTCCAGTGTTAATGCATTTAAAAATCCATTTGGTACTCGACCGTGGATGGCAAACACAAGTGCAGCTGCTGGAGCTGGTGAAGGTTCGAAAGGTTTGAAAGGCATTGTTGCTGGTGGCATAACTGGTGGCATTGAGATTTGTATAACTTTTCCCACTGAATATGTTAAAACACAGTTGCAATTGGATGAGAAAGGTATTAATAGTTATTGGATATCGTGATAACAGTTTTCTACAGTTATAAAAAAGCCTCATCAATAAAACACAAAAACTGAATTTTAGGTGCTAATAAAAAATATAATGGCATAGCCGATTGCGTTAAAAAGACAGTGCAAGAACGTGGTTTCTTTGGATTATACCGAGGTTTGAGCGTACTGCTATACGGTAGTATACCAAAATCTGCCGCCAGGTTATATAAATAAATTAAAATTAAAAAGCATTCCTAATAATATTTTAATTATAGATTTGGGGCTTTTGAATTTCTACGTTCACATATGGTTGATGAGAACGGCCAACTTAGCAATCAAGGAAAACTTTTAGCAGGTTTAGGAGCAGGTGTTTGCGAAGCTATTGTTGCCGTTACGCCAATGGAAACTATAAAAGTGAAATTTATAAACGATCAACGTAGTGCGAAACCACAATACAAGGGATTTGTGCATGGCGTCGGCACCATTATACGTACTGAAGGTAAATTTACATATTGCCTATAGAAAGGAATAATTCTAATGTGTAAATATTTTATATTTCATTTGGTATTTAATAAAAAGGAATCGGTGGCATTTATAAAGGTCTTACAGCTACAATACTTAAACAAGGCTCAAATCAAGCTATACGCTTCTTCACTATGGAAACCCTTAAAGATTGGTATAAGGGCGATGATCCTAAAAAGAATGTTCCTAAATTGATGGTTGGTGCATTTGGTGCTATTGCTGGTGCTGCTTCAGTATTCGGCAACACGCCTTTGGATGTAGTAAAAACACGCATGCAAGGCCTTGAAGCCTCAAAATATAAATCAACGGCGGATTGTGCTGTACAAATATTGAAAAACGAAGGTGTAACTGCATTCTATAAGGGAACAGTACCGCGTCTGGGACGAGTCTGTCTAGATGTTGCAATTACTTTCATGATTTATGACTCGTTTATGGAACTGTTTGGCAAAGTTTGGAAATAGTGCAAGTTATCATATAAGATGAGCTTAGTTTAAACATGACATTATTAAATGACAGAAAAATGTAGTAGGTTTGTTGGTTAAGTGCTTAATTATTTCAAATAATAAAAAAAAGAAGAAATCATTTAGTAAGTTCAGATACCACAACAAGTATAGAAATGGAAGATTTTAGCATATGTGATTTAAAAAGTGATTGTAAATGCATGAACGAATCACCTAGTCAATATAAAGTAACAAATAAATATATTTACATACATATATATATTCATTCATTAAGCATCTCAACAACGTATTTGATAATTGCCAATTTATATAGAACGAACTTATATTTGTCAATATACGAAATTTATATGTCTTTAAGCTAATTTTATTAACTTGCATAAGAAAGATATTTTATCTTGTATACGCATTAGAGAAAAATATATTGAAAGAACATAATTTTATGGTTGCTAAAAATTTAATATACTATCTACATTATTCCATATGTTATTTTCTGGGTAAATCAGTAAAATTGTCAATTAACTGGTTTCAGGTCAACTTGGAATTTATTTACAGTACACAATCTATTACATATCATTAGAGTCAGAGATTAAAAAAAAATATAACTATTCGATTTATATATATGTTAAATATATATGCATTTAAAAATAAATGTTTTAACGTATAACATTTAAGGGTATTGTTGAGTTTTTACTTGATAACATACGACCCAATTTATCTTCCAACGGTTTACTTAATTCATGCCAAATACATTTGCCAATCAATGAGACTTCCTCTAATGGAGGTCGGAAGACTACCAAAACATTAAGGCATATGCCATCTGTAGTGTATGGTATGGCAGATGGAGAATGCTCAACGCTGAGTATACCGTGTGGACGATGTTGTGGTAATTCTGCGCCAAAAAGTTCAATCATGAATTTGCGCAAAGTGGAGTGCAAGCTGCGTTGAGGATGTAATTCCACAGTTGGAAAATGGTATTCATTCTTCTCACTTATCAAGACATTTAGCGAGTTTGTAGCGCGTTTACGTATGACAGCAATAACGCGCATGTAATTTTTATGATGTGAGTATTTTGTGGGCAAAATATCGCTATGCCACAATTGCGGTGCCGAGTTTAGACGATTTTTATACGCCCTACCAACTTCGATTATATTTAAAATATCATCAGCACGCAAAGGTAAATCAATAATATTTGATACCCATCTTGCTTGTAGAGATTCATTATCAGCTTGTGCTGGCGTTTTAAGTATACCACCAGTTACATGCCCAGTTAAAACAAATCGCATCCAAGAACCGCCAGCAGCTTCGATAGCCAATAATGTTGTCATATCGGCGTTAAGGCCAGTTTCTTCGTAGACTTCTCGACAAGCTGCTTCACAAATAGATTCACCTTTTTCCATTCTTCCTGCGGGTAAATACCATTTGCCTATAATAAAATTAATCGTTTACGTAGAATTTTAATGAATTAAAAAATATAAAAATCTAAGAATATTAACCTGCACATGATTCTTTCGCTTCTTGCATCATTAATACTTCATCGTTTTCATTTATTAGTACACAGGCAACAATATAAGTTACTGTCTTACCGAGTACTGGCACAAAATCTGATGAAGCAGTTGGTTGTAAGCCCTGTGCCTCAGCTGTTGCGTTCTGCTCCTGCAGTGAAAAGTCACATAGTTCTTGGGTAATATCACCCAAATCATTTCCAGCTATGATATTGAGTAATTTTTGTTCTACAATGGATGTAATTGTATTTATCTGCGTCTGTGGCATATTTGTTTAGAATTTTCGAGATGTATGCCAAAAATTATTTATTATATTATTACATATGATCAGGCAAGATTTCAGCTGAAATACAAAAACAAAAACATTTAAAATTATTAAGTAGTTCTGATTATAAAAATTTAAAAAATATTCATTGCAAATTTTTATTTACAAAATATTGCTATAATTCATATCTTATATCTTACAACAATCAAGCAAGAATTAAACAAAAATATCATAGTATAACTAAAAAAATTTTGGACAAATAAAACATCTTGTCAGATCTCAAGATCGGCCTGATCTAAACTGAACAAGTAACGTACTAGTCAGCTGCTTGACCTAAAGCGTAACCTGCTTGGCCCTACGGTATCGGTGCTAAATAATCACTGCATATTAGGAAGATGTATTATAAAACTGAATCCACCCTATAATGAAATATGTCGATGAAATGCAAAATCTTGGACGAATTCGTTTCTTACGATCTGCCAGAGCTGTCAACCCGCAAAATTATGGATTTGGTCAAGTTTATAAACTTGTCGGATTAGTTCCCTTTCACTTGAATGCGGGAGTCGTGATATTCGTTCGTTTTGGGTGTTTAGTTTTTATAGTAATTCCTATCTAAATTTTAGACTTGATATAATATTATTAATAATAAAAGGATTGAAACAGGGCAAGCAATAAGATTCAATACAAGCAAAGAAACGAAGCGCAAATACCACGTTCCTGTAGGGTGTTATTCATATATAAGAAGAACCTCTTACGCTCTGCTTATATATCTTCTTAATACCTGTTATGCAAAGGTTATAAAAATTAATTAATTATTTCTTTTCTATAGTAATAAGAGACCATATAAGGTTTTAGTGGAAATAACATTCTAATTAATGGATGCTTTCATTTAAATTTATTATTATATAGGTTAATGAAAAATTTAGAATTAAGAAAATTAATTTAGTAGAGAGAATTATTTAGTATATTTATTAACATATAATGTATATCAACATTTTATACCTATAAGTGAAGATCACATCTTGAAACAAGCGTTAGAAGCATTTTCAGAAGAAAGAAAATCTATTGGATAGGATCAGGTCTTGTGGTTGACGTGCTTTAGAGAATATAATGTACGTATATATATTCATATACATAAGAAACATATATATTTTATTTAAATATAAAATACAAAATGCAAAAGAAAAAGCAGATATTAAACAAACTACGAAGATAAATATCAGTAAATAAAATATAAAATGAAAAATTAACTAAGCAAGTTGTACAATTACAATATTTCGTAGCGTTAAATTCACATTTCGATCAATTTAAAAATAACGAAAAAAACTAAACACATATATATATACTTTTGTATACTTGTTTCTGACATATGTTGTATAATTCTAAAATATTAAGGCAAAATAAGCCGAATGGCAAAATACAGTTTACATATACTGAATAAACCGTCTGGCAAAGTGTATACTGAACCCTACGTGATACTAACCAATGGTCTTAATAATCTTTATTAGTATAAAATCTCAGTATTTCAAATATTTAAGTTGTTGGATTTAGTGTTGTTTGCAAAGTCCTGACATCATAAAAAATAAAAGAAAAAATTAAAAAAATGGACACTTGGTGTAGATAACATTTGTTAACATTTGATAACATGGAGTAGATACAATAAAACTCATCTCAACACAAGAAGAATGCAATCACTAAACTTCACATTACCTCTTAATTGACAAAATTATTTCCCGATCAAAAGTATCTGCCAATAAAACGCAGTTAAATTTCAGAATTCGTGTTAATCTCACATCAAAATTAGAAAATTTATATAAAATTTTATTATATCATATTAAGTTTTTTATTAAATCATTTTATTTTATATATTTAACATCAAATTATTTAATGTATGTATTTAACATTAAAATCATTGTTTTATCGAAAAAAAAATGTTTGATTTTAAATATTAACTTTACTATTTAATGAAGATATATATCGCAGATATGATCATACTAGCTTAGATGATGAGAATCATTCTTGACGATCAAGAATTTTAGTTTCTGACGACAATACCGAAAAAATGTGTCAAATTTTATTAATTTATCTTTGCATGAAAATCAGAAAACTAGATAAGATTGTGATGGGGATGCTTAATCCCATTTGGAAAATATTTTATGCAATGCATTGTTTGATGATCTAAGGTTATAAACGAAATTACTTAAATATTTCACCACTGCAAGGTCACCATTTTCTTTTTAAAATGAATTCAAAATTATTTAGAAAACATGAATTCTGAACCATGAACTTGAAGGATGAACGAAAGGTTGAAGGATGAAGGAAAACGATGAATTCTGTAGAATACAAAGAGTGTACTACTTAGAAAAACTTAGTTACTCATTTTAAGGCGTACTTAAGGTTTCAATCGCGTCTATTATTATATAGGTTAATGAAAAAATTTGGATTTAGAAAATTAAGTTAGTAGACAGAATTATTAAGTACATATTATTAACATATATACAGAAGATATACAGAAGATGAAAGAAAACCAATTGGCTAGGATCAGGTCTTGTGGTCGCCGTGCTTTAGAGAATATGGAAGAGAAGGAGACAATAATTTAAGAAAATACGGAGGGTATCCCCATGCTGTACAGATAGGGACAGGTAACAAAGATAACACGACAAAGACATACTAGTAAATAAGATATAGGATACCTTGAGTTGATTAATTTGTTAAAAAAAAAGCGATTGAACTAATTTCTGCAACCTTAGTACATACATTGTATTTTGTAATTGCCATAAAATGTAACCATTTAAAAAAAAATGCATGTTACACTAAAACATACTCTTAATATTAGCAGTGGCTTAAATTCATAAATTGCTTTTGGGATTAAATGGTAATAACCTGTGTTTACCCGATCTGTCCACTGTGGAACAGATTTATTGAAATTTTGTCTCAATAGATGAAAATTTGACTCCCGGGCCAAAAGTTCAAGTCAGATGAAGAGGTAATACATCATTAATAAATATTTTGAAGACTTTAATACAATACATTATTTAGTGGAGTTAAAGTCATTAGAAAGTGTACCATATTAATAGAACATCAAGCCAAGAAATAAACTAAACAAAAATTATTAAAATGTTTCATTCTATATTGAACGTAAAACGTTTTCAATATCTCTTCGTTATACTAGCAATGCTAGTGCCGCAAAATTTAACTTTTATAAAAAATTCAAATACCGGATATTATTAGCGCAGAAAAAGAAGCAACTGCAAAAATTTCAATGAGAAGCATTATAATCAAAGAAGCAAATAAATATGTGGGATCCATAGAGAGTTACTTAATTAAAATTCGAAAAAAAAAAATTAACATTAGAATTTTTTTTTATTTTATATCATCAATAGACTTTTATGTAGTTTCTAGCAGCGGGTTGATTTTTGCTTAAAAATTTCTCCGTCCCCAAATGTATTGATCATTAATACAAGCGACGATAATTATGATGATGAACTGGTATAGTTGCTTTCAAATGTACACATTATAAATTGAAATATATTTGATTGCACCAACAATGGCAAATGATGACTACAAAGAAGATACGCTGTATTCTTTGTAGAAAGAAAGATCGGAGAAAAACAAAGAACATAAAAGAAACCAGAACTATGAAACATGAAAAAAGAATGTAAATAATGTCTAAGGTGTATTCTTTTCATTCAGCTTTAGATGCTTATTGATGATTTCAAGTATTTTTAATGCAAAGTGTACTAACATGGGTGCAGGTTAATTTAAAAAGGGGATTTAAATATTCTGTGGAAACATAAATATCATTAATATATAATATAAGTATCTTATTCGTGATATATAATATAAAGCAGAGATCTATTTATTGAAATTAAGGATCCTTTAAGTAAGATTCTTATAATTTTTAGACAATTGAAAATACAAGCAGGCCGCCTACTGTTTCGAATAGGATTCTTTACAGTTAAGTATGTCATATTTTTCTAGGTATAAGTTAATCAAAAACAATTTTGTATATCATAGAACTGCAACGAGTCATAATTTTAATACTCAGAGTACATTCATAAAAAACTAAATATAGATGTGTATAAACATAAATACTTATGTGCATTCTGTTTTTAACTGTTTTTATTTCAAGTGTTATACTCATGAATGATTCATTGTATATAAATCATTATACTATAAGTTTTGTCAGCTACATGTATGAATCAGGTTGAATATACTACAAAGAATCAGAAAACCACAGCCATTGATTCAAGTGTTCAGTACTTATTGTAATTCTCTGTTGTATATAATCACTATGTATTTAATCTTAAAAGTAGTACTTTATATACATATAGGAACACATATTGCAACATCATTTTTAGAGATTTAAAATCGGCGAGATCTACCGTAGTGAACTACTATCAAATTAAAGTTTTATCAAATCCCAGAAAGATGAAACAAAATTACTTGTATTGATAAATGAGATTAGGTTTTAGTTTTCAAAATTTGATTCATAATGATGGTACATTTTGTTATCAAAAACTTTTATTCAGAGGTCTTCTACTGAAATGTTTCAACATTTCTTGATTTAAGTCTAACAGCAGTTATTAATACTTATTAATACTTAATACTCTAACATTAGTTATTAATATTCATTAATCTTTTTTCTTAGTCGATATTATTTGCATTTTAAATTTTTATTTTAATCACCTTCACTGAGAAATGTATACATTTAGCTTGAATTGAGGACTAGTTGCTTTATTGGACACAAGAAAACAAGAAGCAACTACGTAAATGCAAAACTATATTCGTATATAAAAAATAATAAAATTGTAAAAACACTAACGTGCATCTGCTTGTATGTAGAAAGTTCATTTAAGTGGATAGTGTGAATTTAATTTAAATGAAATTTTGTAAGTTATTTATTGATTTACAACGTAACTATTTACATTTGTCTATTAACAAGAAAGTAAGTTCCCTTACTGAATATTTTCAACGTCTGATTTAATTGATTTTGAAATAGATAACAGTTGGAAACCATTCCCATTAGCGAAATAATTAGATAATTCACTTATAGCAAACAATGTTGTGTAGTAAATAGAGCACAAGTTTTTTGTTGGGTTCATACTTAGTAAGATATCGAAAAAGAAATAATAATATACAATATCATATAATATCTAATTATTCCCCAACAACAACTGTTTAATATCACACAATTTTGAGCTGATTCAAGGAAGTTTGCAGAAGATGACGCAAGAGCGACCGGACTAGCGACTATCGTTCAGGGATGTGAACATCGAAAACGTCACCATTTTGCTACTTAGGCAGTTATATTGCGAACGACAGTGGAAGTTAACGCCGAATAATAAAAGTTAACGAATAATAAAAGTTAAACAAGTCTTTGGTATGTTCAGTAAATTGTGGAGTTTGTCAAACATCTCACTCCGCACTAAATTAAGATTATTCAATATAAATGTAATGGCCACCCTTTTATATGGATGTGAAAGCTGGAACACTTTTGCCGGGAGCGCATTGCGACTTTAAACATTTATCAATCGTTGTGTACACCGCATACTTCGAGTGTTCTGACCTAACACTATACGCAACACCGAACTATGGTTAAGAATTAGGCAGATCACTGAAGCAATAATTATACGAAAATGTAATTGGATCGGTCATATTCTACGCAAACATGCGGATGATATCACTAAACAAGTCCTATAACAAGACTATAACCCCCAAGACTCTACGAAGAAGACTCAGGCACCCGCGCATCGTAGGAGGAAGCAGATTGAAACAAAGTTACGATCTAACGGTGGCAGAATTTGGAACGAAGTTAAAAATTTGGCATCAGATATAAATTAATAGAAATTATTTGTTTTGACCCTATGTTGCTTGTAGAAATTAAAGGATTACATACATATACCTACATATGTAAAACTAGTTCTCTAGATTCCTTGCGGTTAAGGGGTTAAAATATTCCCGCTGTGGGCATGCTTGTCATAAATCGCGGCACCACGCTGGCACTGTGTAGGAAGTGTGCACGGTAGTAAGTGCTCCAAACTACTTGCGACACCTGACCAGAGGTGCTTATCTGGTACTACGGAGGTCAGTGGGCCCGCAGCTTCGGCTATGCTGACCAGTTGTGGTTGAACTCACAGTGACTGTGGTTAATACCCAAACTTACGCGGGTAGAATGTTTGCCTTTGGTTCACATTCGGCGTGGAATTGTATGCTGTGATCCAAAGATCAACAGAGCTATTGGTAGGCCTCGCATCAAACCAAGGTGGAAGTTATCTCCTATACACATTTGTTCATTGGCGTTGATTGACGCCTTCTATTAATACGCGTGTTTTTGAACACTGTAGTGTTAGGCTACCACGGCATAGAACGCTACGTTAAATAACACAGAGACAGCATACATATGTATATGCATATATCTATTTATATATTTATGTTTACAGTGCCATTAATAATTCTGTTATTAATTTTCAGCTTACATTCACTACGTTACTACTACCACTATATATGCAAACCATATATAATTATCATCCCCAATGCCTACGCCACTGCATTTAAAATTGTACGTGCATGAATGTTGCCTGCTTGGAGGCGAAGATGCAGTTACAATTTTTATTTTTTATTGACAGAGTTGTTTTTGTTTTTGTTTCTGTTTTTGTTTTTGGTACGCAACTTGTATGTTTGTGCTTTGAAATGTAGACAAAGTGGAGTTGATTGTATCATTTAGAATCTCGTATGCTCGAAAAATGATGTCAATGGCTAAAACTTTCACAACTTAACAAATAAAATAAAATATTAACTTAACACTTTGATAAAATCGTTTTTCTGTAACGTGCAGAATATTGCGACTCAGTACTATAGCATTTTCGTTATGTTTTCTTTGCTTGTTATTTATTTATTTTTTTTTTCTAAATCAAAACGAACATAATCGATAGCAGAAGAATGTTGATATGCAAATTGCAGCACATTTTTTCATTGCTTTGGAATGTTGTTTAGCTTTTTCTCAAAAGGTCTTGCCTTTTTCTATTAAATTTTTACTCACTTTACAGCTTTTTTAGCGCAAGTTTGAAATACGCGACACACCGCAACACAGCCAGACCGCAACTGTTGTGACTTTTGACTAAGTATTGTTTTGTTTTGCAGCAATTCGAAGCTGAGCTCAACTTGGTTTGGTTCGGTTGAGCTCGGCTACGACGCGCTGCTTCGAAGCGAGTTTATAATTTTCTATTTTGGTTATTTCTTTGCGTCTCTCTAATGTTCACAAAGTTTGATTGTCTATAATTTGGCATCACTGAGCATGGCAAAGCTGCAGAGCGCGCTTTGAGTCTGGCTTACACTGCTGCTTGGTTTGTTGCCGCCCGTTCGTTCGTACATTCGTACGTTCGTACGTTCGTTTTTGTGTTATACTTCTTCGATCATTAGAAACTTGTTGCGATATTGGCAATTTGTGGAACAGGTACTGCGAGTAACTGTTCGACACTGTCTAAGCGGTTGTCCTCTGTTTGAAGATGGGCTAATGTTTTGTTGTGACGCTCCGTTGTAGACAAGTGGTTCGACTGCACATGACATTGGCCGTAAACTACTATTAAGCCAGATTAATTCTAGTGATTATATTTAATAAGTGGAAACAAATCAATGAACATGGCTTTGATGTGTTATGGAAAATAAAAACCTGTATCACGTTATATATTTAACCAGAATGGTTGCGATTTTCACATAATAAAAAACAAAATGGAGCATAGTAGAGTAGTTTTACCGCCAAATAAAAATCATGTGTTTCTTATTTGGGGTTCAAGTGAAAGGCGTTATCGTTAGATTGCGGTCAGTGGGAACAGGTAATAATTTTAGAAGATTTGGCATGTCTATGTGCAATTATTAAAGTTTGTTTAATATTTTTGATGACTTTACATTTATCCTTTCACCAGTTTAAATAAATTTTCTTTTTGATCACTTTAATAACAGTTTTGATGAAGATAATAAAAAAAATCATTCAAATGTTATGTACTTATTATCATACAATCATGTAAATTGTTATTGAGTTCTTTTTATACTGAAATCTTTAATATAAGATGAGAAGACTCAACGATATGCAGACATCTGTATGCAATCTGACCACGTTCAGATAAAAGGAAATCTAAAATTCTCTTTGAGATACTTTGTAGAGATATCGGTCTTTTGGTAGGTTTACTTACAGGTCACTGTAAACTAGAGAACCATGCTAGAAGATTAGGTTTGCATTTCAATCAAATCTGGCAGCTGTGGGGATAACGATGAGAGTGCCTCATCGTTAATATTTTAGGTGCCCCCTTTCTTGAGAACCTGGCCCAATTACCGGACCTGACACTAAATAGCATCTTATGCTTCGCTAAAGGTTTTAGGTGCTTTAGGACCCTGAGTTTTTCCTATATATACGGTAACACAATTGACACCTGAAATACTAAAATTTGTAGTATGAAAAGCCAGACTAGAAGTAGAGATAAGTATTTTGGTTCATAATAGCAACGTAGTTAAGAGGTAAATTATCATGATACCGCATAATTATCATAATATTATCATGACTTGATATCGCATACACCTTAAAACCAAACTTTAACAAATTATAAGAAACTTTTTTAGGTGAAATACTACAGTTAACAAAGATCCCCTAGGATTTAGATGGACAAGAATATTTTTAAGAGCTCATTCCAAAAATCTTATTTACGATATTTTTCAGAGGCTTTAGTACTTAATCGCTTAAACAAAAAGTGGAAAATAAAAACAATAATTTGTAATAATTTTAAAACTTTAACAGAGTTGAATTACTCAATTTCCTAAGAAAGTTTTCTAATCGACACTGACACGTTAGAAACCTCACAAGATATACAATTTTTTGAGTTGTTGTAAAGAGTTCCATGTCCTTTTAGCTGAGCATCTATCTACAAGAATACGCCAATTTAACCTACTGTTCTAGCATTTTATGGAATATTCAATCTCCTAACATAGTTTTCTAATCGACACTGAATCCAATCAGTTAGGTAGTCAGAATAAGACTCTACTAGGCATCTATATGCATTCTCCAGATTTTTTATTTTTAAGAAGAGCCAATTTGCATACCATTATCTGCATACCAACTTTTAATAAATGTAGATCAAAACTACTTCAAGCGAATATGGCTAGATATGTCAATATCTTCTAACAAGAAATAGAAAACCAAAACTTATAAACAATGATGATATAATTCGTGAAATTCGTGATCTTATGTTAAATTTAATAAGTAATAATTATTTGGATCACACTCTATCGCATGCATTTATTTATAATTTTATGTTGACATTAACAACGTTAAAACCTGTCTTGATGTCGATTATCAATAAGACTATTTAACAATACACACTGATGCACTATACTGTGTCAACCAAAAGAATTATGTTTTTAACAAGATTCTGCTTATTATCTGAGTAATAGACAACTGCCAAGAATAATTAAAAACTGTTCTGATTGAACTTAAGTCATGATTCATTATGTATTTACTACATATAAAAATCTGAACGCAAAAGACAATAAACACTGCTGTGGTTGTACTTATGTCGGAATATGTCAAATATATACTTATATCGGTTTGGTTTGCTGAGTCGGGCACTCACTTTCCGGGGCGCCGAATTGTGGTCGGTGTGTAGCATTACACTCCTCCAAAAAAAAATCGGAGTGGTTGTACTTATACTTGCTAAAGTTTTATTTATCACTAATGGTACTCTATTGGATTTTATGCCCATGTGATCCAAATTTATTGAAGTACTAAGATTCGTGAACCTTAAAACGGATTAAATTCAAAAATTGAAGTCTTGTTGAGATAAAAATAATACTATGCCATTATAGCAACAAAATCTTCCAATCGCTTTCACGGGATTATATACTTTTTACTATAAGCTAAAACTTAGCAAGAGAAACCAATGAGTTATAACGCTATTAACTAGGTTAATATAGAATTAAAGCTTATTCGACTCGTCATTTAATTTAATTCGATATTATACTAAGTCTTTTAAATACAATAGATTTTATCAAGTATTTTGGTCTTTACCGTTCTCTGTGCATTTCTTTTGTTGCAGGGTAAGTCTCTGTGATCATGGAGCATTGCAAGCATGATGCATACGCATAATAATTCGGTACGGTATTATTACACACAGTGATGCATAACTATATTGCGGTATATTACAAATAAAAATTGACGCACAGCAGTTACAATTACCAGCTCAATGTAAGGCAGCCATTTTTATTTTATGAGAGAAGTGAGTAGAAAAAGTCAAAGCAAGCAAATTACAGCTTTATTTAGCTTTGGAACTGCAGTGTACAGATTCGTGTACAGAGTTGGGTATTACTGAAGATCTATGTCGAGCATGAAGTTGAACCGTACCGATCCGACTTTTTGTATAAAAAAGTTGAATGTGTAATACGCAGAAATGAATATTACTACGTACATGATTAATCATTTTCTCGCAGAATTCCTAGTATGAAAAAATGCAATTTATATAATTAATTATCAAAGATAAAGTTTTTTTAACTATAAACCTATGTGGTAATGATAAAAATTGCTTATAACAGAAAATAACAATAGTTTTTAGTAGATTTTTTTGAATAGATCTTCAACTCCAGCTAGAATTGTTCAATTAAGTTAAATTAATTGATAATAATTAAACAATTAGAGAAATTAAATTTGAAATATAGCTTTCATATATAATGTATCTTTAATTTAAATTTGAAATAGAGCTTTCATATATAATGTATCTTTAATATATTTTCAACTAAAAAGTTGAAGGTGAAAACCTAAATGATTGAACCAAGTCCAAAACCCAAAGTGAAGCATTGTACAAAAAATAAAATTGTTTGTAATTTTTTGAATAGAAATACTCACACTACAGCTACAACTAATGAAATAAGGCAATTAATAAATGCAATTACACAATTTCTAGTTCTTCCTTTATACATACATACGTATATGAAATAATTAATTATTTATTATTGCATTCTGTACAAACAGCTGAATGCATTGTCGTGGCACTATTAGGTTTCATAAAATTTACTACATTATTGGTACTCACTTTGATTAGTTGTTTTTAAAAATTACAGAATATGCACATGCAATAAAATTGCACCAATTTAATGGATAGTTTCGATGAACACTTTTTTATACATATTAAGTCTCTAGCATTTATTGTTTTTGTGTGTAGTTTTTTACGTTAAAATTTTTTATATAAAAATTGATTTTTTCAAAGAGACGTATTATTATTTTATTGTAAGAACAATAATAATATACTGTTTCTGTTACAGAAACAAATTAAATTAATACTTTAATTTAATTTTTGATTTTACATAGTCAAGCGTATTGCTTAATTTCACTTAACCACAAATTCGATATCAAATGTTATTGTTTACGAATTGAAGGGCACATAGGGTGTTATTGCTTTATATACATAAATAATTTTTACTCATATATACATATGGTTTTATATTAAAATTTAATTTATGTTAAATGTAATTATATCTATATTTAAATTTTCTACATAAAATTTGCAATAATTTTATAAATAAAAATTTTTCACACAGTAACTAACAATTTTTGATATATTTTTCTCAGCCTATCAAACGTCAAATGTGCCATTTTCATTTGTTCCTTGTACACGTTCATCAATACATTTTATTTTTTTGGCACATAAGTTAGAAAAAAAAACGCACGAATCATAAAAAGTGTTCAAATATAATTTAAAAGCACAATATATTAATGTAATTACTAACATTGATGGAGGAAGGAGTTAAATAAATGTATAGTAAAGAATTAAAGTGAAAAGCCACTATTCTTGCCATCTTTCGACAAAGTTCCCCCGCCCCAACATTTCCTCATACACACGAGAATCTTTGCATAAAACAGAGTGTATACCAAAAAATAAAGCAAAGGCAAAGGCAAATATAAATTGAGGGAAAACGGGAAAGCTTTCGAGGGATTATAAGAAATTAACGCATAAAATAACATTAAGTATTGCAGTGATAACGGGTTTATCGTTTAAGGAAGAACTAACCTCACGAAATGTCCGAAATGAATATCGATAGTATAATTTCAAGGCTCCTAGAAGGTAAGCACTGCTGTGTTAGCGAAGTATATCACTTCCTCACTCACATACATCCCTCTTACCCTTTTGTGTGATAGAGATTAAATTCTTGCAGGTGTTTTTGTTGTTTGCCCTTAGTAAATTATACAAGCAATAGATAAGTTGCAATGTTTTCATTAAATAAAAAAAAATTTAATAATTAAGTGTAACGAAATAGATTTTCTTATCAATAATATATATAATTGTTTTTCTTTTTTTTTTCTTTTTGTTTCTTCTATTACATATAATTTTTAGTGCGGGGAGCTAGACCTGGTAAAAATGTGCAATTATCAGAAAGCGAAATTCGTGGTCTATGCTTAAAATCTCGAGAAATATTTCTATCTCAGCCTATACTGCTAGAACTGGAGGCACCTTTAAAAATATGCGGTATGTACAATATTAATAAATAGTTATAAATTGCACCAAATTATTGTTTAAAATATTTTCAAATAAATTTTAAGTTCATTTTAGGCTTTGCAAGCAAAATGCAAAACCCATTGTCTGCTCTCAAGTATCAATAAACTCAAGTCAAACTATTTAAGTCGCTATCAACTGCTTGCTAAGTACGAGTTTATTTTCATTGTTTTTGTTTTTGTTAAATTTATTTAAGTTTTTTGTTGTAAATTTTATGCACTTGCTTGCTTTTTAACTATTATTTTTAATTTTTGAAAGATTGAAGGATTGAAATATTGAAATTCTAAACATTACAGGTGATATTCATGGTCAATACTATGACCTATTACGTCTCTTCGAATATGGTGGTTTTCCTCCAGAATCAAATTATTTATTTTTGGGTGATTATGTAGATCGTGGCAAACAATCCTTAGAGACAATTTGTTTGTTATTGGCGTATAAAATTAAATATTCTGAAAATTTCTTTTTGTTGCGTGGAAATCATGAATGTGCCAGCATCAACAGAATATACGGGTACATATATTATACTATATTAAATAGAAAAACAATATACTAACATAAATACTTTTTATTTACATTATCTAGTTTTTATGATGAATGCAAACGTCGTTACACAATAAAACTATGGAAAACATTCACAGACTGTTTCAACTGCTTACCAGTTGCAGCAATTGGTAACCAACATTTTATTTAAATATATTTTTTTTAACATTGTATTAATTACTAATCAATTTTAATATATTTTACATAGTTGATGAAAAAATATTTTGTTGCCATGGTGGCTTGAGTCCTGATCTGCAATCAATGGAACAAATTAGACGTATTATGCGACCTACTGATGTTCCTGATCAAGGCTTGTTGTGTGATCTTTTGTGGTCAGATCCTGACAAGGATACAATGGGTTGGGGAGAGAATGATCGCGGCGTGAGTTTTACATTTGGAGCAGAGGTATGTGTAATTTTTACAAACAGTTTCTTTTATTGTACTATTTTATTTCTTGAAATGGAGAGTGAAACGTACTGCTGTTTTTAGTAAATAGATTCATTATCTGTGTAATATTTTTAATAATTAATGGGTGGTGAGAATTGGGTGACTGTTGGGCGATTTCAGGACAATAGTTTTATTAATAATAAAGTAGTAATAAGTTTATCAGATTATTTTGTAGTTATTTATTAATAATTTATTTATTTATTAGTAATATATTCAATTATTAGTAATTTGTTTAGATTAGATTTAAAGACTTTTCAACGTTAGCATAATATATCTTATAGATCACAGTGTATCTTTATCCTTTCTAATTAAAATAATATGTACAATATTTTCGATTATGACACTCAACAAATTTTCAACCACTCAACTAATACAGTTTCCAACATTCTGTTGATCATATTATGCGCAGTACCATTTAAAAATTAATGATGTCATATCTGTTCACCTGCCCTCTATAATTAATTTGTTATGCACATAACCAATGACAATATTATAACTGTATTAACATATTTGTTGTAATTCTTATGTAATCAACAATGATGCAGCAAGTTATTGAGAAACATGAAGTATCCATAATTCTTCTCAAGCGATGTTATCGTACTGTTTTCTAAGACAGGGTTCGGGCCAATCTTATAACAATAATTAAAGTTTCTACATTTTATATATGATTTGTATTAGCCCAGAGATCATTGTTGTAAAGTCACTATAGGCATCATATATTTAAAACTCAAAAGCTACGGAACTATACTTTGAATTAAATATTGGAATTTTTTTCATGTTTCGCATTAACAAAAGAAAGCTGACTTTATATTCGATTCGATTCAATAGAATTCCACATGAATCAAACACCGAAAACAATGTATTATCGCTACTACTACTCTTATTAATTGAAAAACTTGATTATTTATGAATTATTGAATATATCATCAAAGATTTTAGTTTTTAGATCAAATTCAAATAGTTAAGCTAAAGTTTATTGTAATTCAATGATATTTTCATCTAAGATAGTATTGTCTGTAGTCCCTTAATTGATTTTCAATTTTATGTTGATACCGCTAAAAAGTAAACAAATAATCATGGTATTAATAAACTTTGAACAAAAAATGTACATTGCTTGCATGACTAATGATCGCAAATCAGTTTTTTAATTGAATATAATATTGATTAGTTAATATTTATTTACATTACAGATTTAGTTAAAATTTTTAGTTCTATGATATACAAAAATTTATAATTCTCAGACACTTCGAAAATATTTAAATTTTGAACAATATTTTGACAAGAGAAATAATTTTGTAGACTGTTTTTGCTAGATGGGAGAAAAAAATTATAGTAAATAAGCATTTAACTTTATATAAAAATGACAGTGGTACTATTATATTTTTTTAAATTTGATATCAAATTTTAAAGTTTAAATAATGACGGATAGTTTAGCAGTACTTAATATGTAAATACCAAGTTCCTCATAATTTGAACATTGCAAATTCGTTTTATGAACATTGCTTCAAATTAATAAATGATCGTCAAATAATTACTACCATGATACCACCATTTACCGTTGTAGATAGACTTTGAGATAATCGATTGTTTTTGCTCTCATGCCAGTACTCAATTACTTGTGAAGTAATTCAAATAATACTTTTGGAATAATTAAGAAATGGTTGATGGCGATCAGTAAAAAAAACAATAATTAAAAAATAATTGATGGTGATAGGTACAAAAAATGATTACATTTTTTATATGTTAAAATCTTAATAGAACCATAAAATTATTACATAAATGTTATTATAGATATATACCATACAAAGACATTGGAATTTTAGAATTATGTGGTATTTGTGGTGTGCGAGTTATATCAAATTCCATCAAAACTGAACACTGCGAATTTTAATAGGTCGATAACATTTAATTTTTAATTGAATTTTAAAATGCTGTCAAGGATATATGTATATATATTAATTAGATATTGAAAATCATACAAATTTATTTGTAGATTATAAGACTTATTAGATTACTTAGTCTCTAGATTATAAGATATAACTGGTGTTAGTGGTATGTCAAATTATAGGTGTACTCATTGATTTTATTACTTGAACAACAAAGCAGTAATACAGCAGAATGAATGATGAATGAAATGAAAAGAAGAACCTGCACCTTAATTTTTTAATTTCAATTTAGACAGAATAAATTATTTTCTGGTTATTATAGTCATCCATCACATCCATTACAGCAGTGTGAAATATATATTGATAATGAGGAAAATTTCTTTATCGTTATTTTTTTATTGGTGATTTCAAAACACATCCATTACTGCAGTGTAAAATCTATATTGATAGTGAGGAAAATTTTGTTGTTCCTATTTTTTTATTAGTGTTTTCAAAACATATATCACATTGTTGTTGGGGCTATAAATCTTTGTTCGGTTATCAATAAAAACAAGACATTTTGATAAAATTTTAAAATATAACTTTACTATTTTTTTTATTATTAATATAATTTTCATTTTCTTTCAACAGGTTGTTGGTAAATTTTTAGAAAAAATGGATTGCGATTTAATATGTCGGGCACATCAGGTCGTCGAAGATGGTTATGAATTTTTTGCGAAGCGACAACTGGTTACTCTCTTTTCAGCACCAAATTATTGCGGTGAATTTGACAATGCGGGTAATTATTATAAACTATATATATTAAATATATTATTTAAATAATTTTCATATTTCACTTTTTTCTTTTAGGTGCAATGATGTCAGTGGATGACACTTTAATGTGTTCTTTTCAGATACTAAAACCTGCTGATAAACGACGTTTTGTGTACCCTAACTTTGGTAGTTCAGGGCGTCCTTTAACACCACCACGTGGTGCAAACAATAAAAATAAAAAAAAATAAGCATAAACCAAAATAGAAAAAAATAAGCCTAAAAAATGAATTATAATTTTAATGGCAACAATATTAAGAAATTTTTTAAATTTTACAACAGCGGAATATTTGTAAAAAAATAATAGTACATTTATACAAAAACAAAATAGTACATTTATACAAAAACAAAAAAAAAATAGGCAAAGCTTCGAATAAAATCATTTTTTTTTATAAATTATAACTTGTTTGACGCAAGTTAGCAATATTTTAAAGAGTCATTTTAAATCTTGTTAAGTTGTCTAAATAATTATAAATTGTTTATAATTATTTTTTATTTCATATTGTATTTTTACTACAATATTCATTGATTTTAATTGAAATTGTTGTTTTTAGACTATTATTGTTTTAATTTTTGAAATTTTAAATTTGTGTGTTTTATTATTAAGTTTTTAAAACAAAATAATTTACACCAAAAAATCAAACAAATACATACATATATATAAATGACAAAATCATGTCGTTTACTATAAATAAACACATGAAATATTCGAATCACACGCAAAACGATTAAACAAGTTTATACAAAATATGTTATCAAAGATATTAAATTCATTTCATCAAAAATTTGCAATAAAATTAAACAAAATCATTGTACATTATAAGAAATATAAAGAGAAAAACCTCGAAATATAATTGTTCATTAAAAAAAAATAAAATATTATTAAAAATAATTGTTAGAGTGCAAAATATAATTGATTCAAAAATAAAATGAAAAAGTACACCAAAATATGAATTTTGTTCATTAACATAAAAAAGAGAAATAAGAAACAAAATTTGAATATAAAATTTAATAACGAAATTAAAATGAAAATGTATACAAAAGTAAATAAATTATATATATTGTAATTATTTAAATTAAATGAATTTAATGTATAATAATAATTTAAATTTATTGTAGTTGAAAGACAAATGTTCAAATAATTCGATTGATTGTGCAGTTTGCCTAATAGAGGCAACATGTACCAGCCTGCATATACGTAATAAAATAATACAAAACCAACAACAGCAATAAATCGTAAACAATATTATATAAAAAACGTAGCAACAACATTATGCGCAATACGAAATAGTAAAATTGTTTTGTATAACCACTTGTAAGATGAAAAACACAAAAACAAAAATTAAATATTTATAAAATCGAAAAAATTGAATAAAACACTTGTAATAATAGCACAGTTAAGAAAATTTTATAATATTGAGTTTTATTTGTTTTATAAAATATAAGTAGTATTATTGAATTATATATATATATATATAATATATGCTAGTAAATATATCAGTGCATTCCACATTTTCATTAACTTTATTTTACATATGTATATATCATACAATAATCAATCTAAATTTGATTGAAAGGATTTGTTTCTCAATTCGAACTACTAAATTGTATCTTCTCACTTTTATCACTCGATTCTATTGTCAGTGGAGGCGCTGGGCCTCGCGAAAAGTTACCGACTGTCGATTTAAAGCACTTAATAGATATTTAGAACAACTTGATTTCATATATGACATTAATCATTTGAAAAGTATACCAAACGAAGACTTTCTCAAGATTTGTAATGCTTTAACTATAATTCGGCCTATTGAACTGTAAGAGGAACTGCTGCTTTTAAAATCGAACTCACTAGACTCAACCAACGATATAAAACAATTCGTCCGGTATATTGAAGAAAATAATTTAGAAGAAGTATACCCGAATGTTTACGTAGTAAAAAAAAAAACGATGCTCACAGTTCCAGTCCGTATAGCTTTTACTGAAAGAAGCTTCTCAAAGTTAAAATTGTTTAAAACCTACTTGAGAAGAATGATGACAAGACAGACCGACTATCACCATTGGCAATTATATTAATTAAAGCGAAAATAGCAGTTGGTGCAAATTATGACATAATTTTAAAAAAAGTGAGTGAGTGAGTCTAAAAGTAGAAAAATTAATTCATTTTAATTTGTGTTTATTTTAATTTGATTAGCAATAAACCTTTCATACATGCTTCAACGTATTAGTGAATGTAAATTATTTACTTTTATAATTCGGTAATGAAAGAGGTCTCGCAATTCTGATGTCGCCGACGTCTAAAGGTGGTCTAGCTTTACCACCGTCTATTGTGTAAATTTTGTCATCCTTAGAACAAATGGTGAAAATATACTACTTTCAATTTATTGAGGTAATTGTTTGTTAGTTTTTATTCTATTTATTTTATTTTATTGCATTATGCATAAAATTATTATTACAATATAAATAGTAATTATTTTATTATAAGTTGCTATTTAAACCTGCCTTGGAGTCAAACAAACTTTGAAACATTTGCAAACATTTTTATATTTCGTAAACATCAAATCAGGCATATAATTCTGTGGACCGAAGCCTTATCGTGAAACAATTCGGTTCACAATATTGTTTCTGTTAAAAAAGTGTTTATTTTACTGCATGGCACAACATATTATGAATATTAAGTTGGCGTCACTAACATTTGAAGCTGGTTCCGTTTGCAAACAAACATTAAAAATTAGCAACAATAATTAAAAGTGGTCTCTGCGAAATAAAAATACACATGTAACTTATTTATATCCGATTTTCAGTGTCTAACGAATTTCGAAAACATAAAAAAGACAATGTGGAACTTCTCTGAACCGAGGACAGTAACGTAGAATAGCTAATTGTATAAAAATAACCAGATAACCTACGTAAAAGCGTCTTCACGGTGCACAGAGAATATTTTTAATTTTATGACCACATAACCTGATAACCAGTATACACCGTAAAATATATCTTTCCTTAGCTAGTACTGCTTTGGAGTTTTATATTGAAAACAAAATTCACCAACTCTTATTGAAATCCTCTTATTCTCACTGTAATCCTTGAACTATTAGGTTTTATCGGCATTATTAAATCTTATTTATTTGCGTTGAATATGTTGATTTTATTTTATTATAATAATGTTTTATATTATTTATATTGTGTTAATATTTTAAATCTATATAGCCTTTATTTGCAATGCGTATCTTCTCTTTTTTGATTAAAATATCAAATTGCGTTTTCCTGTAATTTTATTACCCTAAAATGTAAACTAGAACTATATATACATACTTGATCTGATAAGAATCGAAACATGTAAATCAGCCCAAATATTATTCCACCTCACTTTAATTTCTCATACATAATTACTACTTGTTAAATTATTAAGAAGGTAAAATGGTTAGGCTCAACATGTCATTTAAAAAAAAATATGTGTGGAACGTTTTTTGCTTAAGTCTTTCAACTTCATTAGGTTGCCATGGATAATCCATTCCATGACAACTATCTCACAATATTCAAATAAACAAATTTTAAAACTAAGTAAACATAAACAATTTTGAAGGCGATAAGTATGTTAATTTTTTTAGTAATTCAAATATAATATAAAAGTGTTTAGGAAAAGAATGGAAAAAATATCTTATAAGACTACAAAAAGCTATGAACTGCGAAAAAGTTTTAACAAAAAAAAGTACGGAGCTGAAAACAATACTTTAAACTGTTTTAATAATAAAAAAACAGCTTTTGTAAAGAAGAAAGCTTCTGCTAATCCTCCACAATCAACTCAAACAAATAGTATTGCAAAGCCAAAGGAACCCATAAGTACAAAGTTTATAAAAGTTAAACCGAAATCATCAACTGCAACACATCCTAATGGTTTGGGGCACTCTGATACAAAAAATGAAAACTTTATACGCCGTTGTTCGACAACAACTACACAAACAGATGCAACAACTAACACAGCAATTGAACCATACGAATGTGCACATATTACTCCTAAATCATGGCCCACAGTGGTACCGAAAGATGGACTTTTAGAATTTACTGATCAGCGCAAATGTTATGAAGCAGCAAGTAAATCAGGTCAACTAAGGGACACATGTATGCCGAACTGCAATTGCAAGCAACCAGCGGCTACGAAACATTTTTCACCAGTTACGAATGAAACTGATGTTGAATTTGATAGACCCTTAAGTTTTCTTGAAGATTTGCAAGCATTTCGTTTAAACAATCCAGATGAATGTTTTGGTAGATATAGTCGATCTAATCTACCCTTACCAAGATTAAAAGATTTGTTGAATGCATGGGATGAAAATGAATACATTCAACGTCAACGTTTAAAGGATATTGTAAGGGTTCGCAACTTGGCGAAAACATATGTAAATGAGGAACCAAAACGGGAGTACTTAATGAAATCAGATAGTAATAATAATATAGTAAATGCATACTTCAATGCTGGTAAAGATTACACTTTATGTAATAGATGTTCCTATGATGAATCAGAACCAGAGTGCTGTTTAAGGAATAGGGGAGGTTGTAGTTCGGCAAAAAGAAATTCGAATAAAAATTCGAAGCGAGCACATTCGTTAGGATTTGATAATAGTTGCAGTACCAGAAACATACATTTCAATGAAAAATATAATGAAGACGACTACTTCCATCAGATGAAGCAGGGAAATAGTTCAGGAAATGTGAGTTACATTGATAGTTCAAAGAAAAAATACCAAAAAGATCGTAAAAATAGTTTCAGTTTCAACTCGAGAAACTCGTGTTATATACAGGAACCAATACAAGAATATGGTGTGCCAAATGATATGAAAGACAATAAGAAAATCTTACCTCCATATGCTGCACGTCAAAAACTATTGCAGTTAGAAGATAATTCACATGAGAGGGAGAAATCCAAGCAGCACAAGAGTTCAAGAAATTTTCTCAAGAATAGTCTTGCTTTACGGTATCAAGAAATGCTTTGATGGAAATGTATAGTGAAATAACAATAAATATCAGTATTAAATTTTTTAAAAATATTTCAGTTTACATCTTTTATTTTTGTAATGCTTTTCTAAAAGAAACAAATTTTAACGAAATAAATGATGATGAAATAAATTATTACAGTTGAGCCACCAAATTTATGGTTTCGTACTGACTTTATTTTTTTATAATGAAGAGTGTTTTCCTTTAATAATATAAACTATATAGTTAACCCATTACGAACCGGTACCAGATGCC